ATCTTTCTTTCGTCGCGTTTTTGTTTTTTTTGTAATCCCATTTTTTTAAAGTGTTTTTTGGATTTTTTGCTACCCTTTTTTTGAGTTTTTGGACACATTTTTTAAATTTACTTTTACACTTTTTTTTGTATTTTTTTTTAACGCCATTTTTTTTAGTTGCATTTTTTCCTGCTTTTTCATCACCTGTTTTTGTCAGTTTGAAAATTCAAAAAACTAGAAATCAATGTGTTTAAAAATTGGAAGATCGAAAGATAAAAAATTAGGAAACTTAAAAATCGAAAAAGTGCAAAATCGAAAAGAAGAAACGAAATATAAAATCGAAAATATTGAAAATTAAAGAAATGGAAAATCTGATAATTGACAAATACAAAAATGAATCAAGAACTTGAAAAACTGGAGCAAAGAAAAATTGAAAAATCGCTTTTGTTCGAATTTTTCATGGAATATTTTATCTTTTTTTTTTTGTAATCCCATTTTTTAACATGTATGGAATTTTTATCACATTTTTTTTTTAGTTTTTTGACACTTTTTTTTATTTTTTGTATTCCCGTTTTTTGTAGTTTTTCTGCGTGTTTTTTTTTTGTACAGTTTTCGTCGTAATTTTTGTTGCTCATTTTGTGACTTCTTTTTTTGTTCTCTTCGTTTAGTCGTTTTTTGCATCTTGTTTGGATTTTGGGTCCTCTGGTTTTTGGCTCTTTTTTGTCCTTTTTTTGTCAACTTTTTCCACTCCATTTTTTGTTCTCTTTTTCCCAGTGTTTTAACATGATTTGCGTTTTTTTATCGCATTTTTAGTTTTTTGGCACATTTTTTTTATTTTTTTATTCAAGTTTTTTGCAATTTTTTTTCAATTTGTCTTCTGGTTTTTTCGCCCTTCTTTATAGAATTTTTGCCTTATTAAAGGTTGTTTTGTTGCATTTTTTGTGACTTCTGTGACCTTCACTTGAAAAATTGAAAATCGGAAGATTAAAAATTACGAAACTTAAAAATCGAAAAACGAAATATTATAAAATCGAAAATATTGAAAATTAAATTTTTCGGCTTTACAATTTGGATAATTCTATAATTTTTCGATTTAATAATTTTTGGGTTTTCCAATTTTTCGATTCGATTCGTGTTTTCTTCTTTTCAATTTTTCGATTCAGTAATTTTTGTTCGATTTTAAAGTTTTTCCATTTTTCGTTGAACTTGAAAAACTGGAGAAAAGAAAAATCGCTTTTGTTCGAATTATTCATGGAATATTTTATCTTGTGTTTTTGTCACCTATTTTTGTTTTTGTTTTTTTTTACGACATTTTTTACGGACTTTTTTGTCCTCTGTTACTCGCATTTTTTCTCACCTTTCTTTCGCCTTTTTTTTGTAATCCCGTTTTTCGACTTTACAATTTTGACAATTCTATAATTTTTCGATTTAATAATTTTTGGGTTTCGCAATTTTTCGATTCGATTCGTTTTTTCTTGTTTTCAATTTTTCGATTCAGTAATTTTTGTTCGATTTTAAAGTTTTTCCATTTTTCGTTTTTTAATGTTTCGATTTTTCATTTCTTCAGTTCTTCGATTTGCAGTTTTTCGGATTTTGTAATTTCCCGTTTTTTCAGTTCTTCGATTTTTCAACTTTTCGAATTAAAAAAAAATGGAAAATTGCAAAATTGTAAAATCAAAAGTGAAAAAAATGAAAAATCTAAAAATTGGAAATCAAGAACTTGAAAAATTGAAGAAACCAAAAAGTGCAAAATAAAAAAACGAAATATTGAAAATTAAGAAAATCTGAATATTGGAAATTAGAGAAATCGGAAAATCGGTTAATTGAGAAATCCAAAAATTGCAAAATTCAAAATTTAAAAATTGGAAAATCGAGGAACTGAAAATACAAAATCGGAAGAATCATTGAAAAAGAAGGAAATGAAAAAACGAAAAAGTGTGATATAAAATCGGAAAAATGTGAAATTAAAAAATCGAGAGATTGAAAAATAAAAATCAAGAACTGGGGAAACGAAAAATTGAAAAATCGGTTTTTGGCGTTTTTTTTGCAATTTTTTGTTCTCTATTTTTGTTTCTTTCGTCGCGTTTTTGTTTTTTTTTTTTAATCCCATTTTTTTCAACGTGTTTTTTTGGGTTTTTTGTTACACTTTTTTTGAGTTTTTGGACACATTTTTTAAATTTATTTGTGACTTTTTTTTGTATTTTTTTAAATTTGTTTTTTTGGCCCTTTTTTAAACTCCATTTTTTTGTTGCATTTTTTCTTGCTTTTTCATCACCTGTTCTTGTGAGTTTGAAAACTCAAAACACTAGAAATCAATGTGTTCAAAAATTGAAAAATCGAAAGATGAAAAATTAGGAAACTTAAAAATCGAAAATATTGAAAATTGAAGAAATGGAAAATCGGATAATTGACAAATATAAAAATTGGAAAATCGAGAAATTGAAAAATTATAATATCAAGAAAATGAAAAATAAAAACTTGAAAAATTGGAGAAAAGAAAAATTGAAAACTCTAAAAATCGCTTTTTTTCGAATTTTTCATGGGATATTTTATCTTGTGTTTTTGTCACCTATTTTTGTTTTTGTTTTTTCCACATTTTTTACGGACTTTTTTAGTCCTCTGTTAGTCGCATTTTTTTACCTTTCTTTCGTCGCTTTTTTGTTTTTTTTGTAATCCCATTTTTTAACATGTATGGATTTTTTATCGCATTTTTTTGACACTTTTTTTTAATTTTTTGTAGTTTTTCTGCGTGTTTTTTTTTTTTTTGTACAGTTTTCGTCGTATTTTGTGACCTCTTTTTTTGTTCTAGTAGTTTTTTTTTTTTTTGGTCTCTTTATTACCATTTTTTGCATTTTGGGTTGTTTGCTCTTTTTTGTTGTCCTTTTTTTCACTCCATTTTTGTCGCATTTTTGTGTCTTTTTTTTGTTTGTTTTTCCCCTCGTGGTTACTTTTTATGGTTTCTTTACCGTCTATTTTTGTCTCCCCTTTTTTTATATTGAATCCATTTTTTTGTGGTTTTTTCTTTTTTGAGTGTTTTTCAGTCTTTTTACTCTCTTCTTTTTGTCGTATTTTTTGGTCTCTTTTTTATTGCCTTTTTTTGGACACTTGACCTTTAGTATTTTACTTTTTGTAGTCGCCTTTTTTTTCGCATTTTGTTTGCCCTTTTTTTAAACGTTTTTTTTTTGTTCCATTTAACCTATTCTGTCGCCTTTTTTTAACTCCATGAGCCGTCTTTATTTTTCTCTTTTTGTCCTTTTTTCTTATATCCTTACTTCCATTCAGTTTTCTAATCGCATTTTTTTTTGTTTCCATTCTTTTTTTTTTTGAAGCTTTTTTCCTATAGTCGCTTTTTTGTAACATTTTTGTTGATTCCCTTTTAGTCGCATTTTTTGATTTCGTTTTTTATGGCTTTTTTTAAATCATCTTTTCATTTTTGTCACTTTTGGTTTCTTGTTTTTTTTAACGTGGTTTTTAGTGGAATTTATTTGGTCCTTTTTTTCACATTTTATATGACCTGTTTTTATGGCCTTTTTTTGAGGACTTTTTTTATTCTCATTTGGTTGCATTTTTTTCTCACCTTTCTTTCATCACTTGTTTCTTGTTCTTAACAGTCGCCTCTTTTTAGCATTTTTAATTTTTTATCACTTTTTGTAGCTCCTTCTAATCGCTTTTTTTCCACATGTTTGTGAATTATTTTTTCAAATTTTACGTTTTTTCATCTTAATCACAAAATTTCATTATGAAAAATTGATTTGAAACGCAACAACATAGTTCTTTACCCCTGTAGCCAGTAAAAACGAGGGGTGGGTGGGCGGGCAGGGCTAATAGTTAAAAGTAGCTAGTATTTTCAGATGACGTTATCAGTTTTTTCGAGACAGCCAATAGACAAATTTTTGTTGGCATTTTACCATTTTTAGATATTCGTTAAAAGATTCTGCATCATGTGTATCAACATCTTTCACAAGAAAAACACGTGACGAATTTCACATTTTATAAAAATGCACATTCCGTGTCGTTACGCAACTTTCAAACAAAGCAAAAAGCGACATATGGCGACAAAAACTTCGATCCTCGTCAACTTTAATATTTATTTTGTAGCGTTAAGCTACCTTGAATGTTTTCTTGGAACGTCGTTAAATAAATAATGAATACATACTTTGCAAGGATAATTTGTTTATTGCAGCCTTTGTAACAATAAACAGTCGAGTAAATAGCGATTTCTGCACCACGCTATAATTATCCGTGAAGTCACACATAAAAAAAGTAGTTAAAACTAGTCGTAGTAATTATTTTAGCCGAAAACAAACAACTTGGAGTAGTTTACGTCAAAGTTTGTGCCACATGGGGTTTTGCAATTTTATAATTTTATTTGTTGTTGTTGTTGTCAGGACCGGCTCCGACCACATTCGCGAGAAAGACGGGATTTGGGCAGTCCTGGCATGGCTGTCCATCATCGCTCATAAGAACATGAGCGTGGAGGACATCCTCACCGAGCACTGGAAGACCTACGGCCGGAACTACTTCACCCGGTACGACTACGAGGAGTGCGACAGCGACGACGCTAATAAAATGATGGTCCACCTGGAGCACACCATCGCCGACGCCGCCTTCGTCGGGAAGACCTTCACGGCGGAGGGGAAAACCTACAAGGTCAAGCAAGCCGACAACTTCTCGTACGTGGACCCCATCGACAAGAGTTTCACCAAGAACCAGGTTCGAATAATCAAATAAATTAAAAACGGTTGTTAATTGTTTGACCTAGGGTATTCGGGTGCTCTTCGACGACGGCTCCCGAGTGATTTTCAGACTCTCTGGCACCGGCAGCAGCGGCGCCACCGTGCGCCTCTACATCGACAGCTACGAGAAGGACAACGTCACCTGCAGCGCCCAGACCATGCTGAAGCCCCTCATCAACGTGGCCCTCGACATCTCCCAACTCAAGAAGTTCACCGGGCGGGAGCAGCCCACCGTCATAACCTAAACCCTCCCCCGTAGAGTGGTGGCATTTATTGTGATCTTCGTTGCACATTTTCGATTGTTTTATTTGTCTATTTCTTTGTACAAAACTTAATAAATTACGGTAAATCAAAGCCGAGCAAGTCCTCGAGCGTGTACCCGAACAACCTGAAGTCGTACTCGTACTTCTTGTACAGTCCGCGGATGTCGTCCATGGACAGCTGCTGGAAGTACGTCCTGAGCTTGTGGGACGTGTTCGACGACCTGGTGAAGGGGAAGGCGATGGGCGGCGCGCCGATCATGTCGAGGAGGGCGGCGGCGTCCTCGACGAGGGTCTCGTACCGCCCGATGAAGCTGTAGTTGAGAGAGCAGGGGTGGCACAGGTCGAACACGGGCGCCCAGTGCTCGTTGGCGCTGCCGTCCTCCAGCACGTACCAGACGAACTCGCGGAAGGTCACGTTGGTGCCGGTGTCCAGGTCGCTGTCGGTGGCGTTGTGGCGGTACTTGCGGATGATGGTGCGGCCGTAGCGGAGCTGTAAGGGGGTGGAGTACTGGCACGACTTACTAGATTCGGGCTTACTTGGAAGTACTGGCTGTAGGTGTTCTCGAACTTGTTGCGGTAGGCGGAGAGGAGGCGCTCGAAGGGGTGGCGCACCATGACGAAGGCGGTGTAGTGCTCGAGGCAGTGGCGCACGGCGGGGGGGTCCAGCTGGGACAGCCTGAGGGTGGAGTTGTCGGCGTGGGCTAGGGACCCGGGGATGTCGACGAGGTTGGACGACGACGACGTGCCGGTCAAGACCATGAGGAGGCGCTTCCAGTTGGTGCAAGCCACCTGGACGACAAGTCAATTTTTAGAATTATTTATAAAGGTTTCATTTTCAGAATTTTTTAATTTCTATTTTCTCGATTTTTCAAAATTTTTTTTCACATTTTTTGGTTTTTTCATTTTTATTTTTCAATTATATTGAGTTTGAAAAAAAGTCGAATAAAAGAAAAAGTTTTAAAATCCAATAATTCAAAAATCTAGAAGTTGAAAAACGAAATTTGAAAACCGAAAAATTGAAAAAATAAAGACAATAAAAAATCGGAACGATTTGTTATTTCTTCAATTTTTCTGTTTTTCAAGGCACTGTTTTAATTTTTTCAATGTGACGTTTTCTAATTTTCGGATTTCTCAATTTTTGATTTGAAATTTTTCTAGTTTTCATTTTAAATATGTAGTGTTTCAATTTTTTTCACTGACTCGATTTTTCAATTTTTGGATTTTAAATTTTCAGTTTTTCGATCTTCCAGTGTTAGTTTTCGACATTATTTTTACGTTTCTCAATTTTTAGTTTTTCAGTGTTTCAATTTTTCGTTTCTTCAGTTCTTCGATTTGCAATTTTTTTTCAGTTTTTCGATTTATCAACTTTTCGAATAAAAAAAATGGAAAAATTGCAATATTGTGAAATTGAAAAAGCCAAAAATTGGAAATCAAGAGCTTGAAAAATTGAAAAATCCAAAAATTCAAAAAATAAAAGACTAGAAAAAACAGAAACAAAACATTGCAATCGAAAAATTGAAACATCCATAAGTTGGAAAATTTTTGACTTGAGTTTCTAAATTTTTCATATTTTTTTGTTTCTTCAGTTTTTCGATTTTCAAAAGTTTTGAATTTTACGTTTTTTTGATTTTGATGTGTGATTTTTTGTTTTTTCAATTTCTCATTTACTTCAGTTTTTCGATTCTTTATTTTTTCATTTATTGAAATTTTCGATTTTTCCATGTTCCGAATTATATTTTTTTTTAATTTTTCCTTGCTTGAATATTTCGATTACTGATTAAAATTTTTTTTCAATGTAGTTTTCTAATTTTTGGTTTGTAATTTTTCAAGTTTTCATTTTAAATATGTAATTATGATTTTTAAAATTTCACACTTATTTTCAACTTTTTTTCTTCAATTTTTTCGAAATGCGAATTTTCGAGTTTCCATTTTTAAATTTTTCAGTTTTTCCTTTTCTCACGTTTTGGATTTTTCAATGTTTCGTTCCTTGAATTTTCGATTTGCAATTTTTTCTAGTTTTCGTTTTAAATGTGTCAAGTATTTCAATTTTACTCTTAGGATTTTTCCATTTTTTAATTATTGGATTTTAAAATTTTTTCACTTCTTCGATTTTTCAGTGTTTTCGAATAAAAATTGCAAAAGTGTAAAACGAAAAGTTTAAAAAATCTAAAAATTGGAAAACAGACGAACTGAAAAATCAAAGATTGAAAATTTGAAAAATTGAATAAACGAAAAATTGCGATATAAAATCGAGAAAATGAAAAATTATAATTTCGAAATACTGCAAAATTGAAAAATTTGGAAGATCGTGAAATTGTTATTTATTCAATTTTTCATTTTGGTTTTTTATATTTTTAATTTGTTCAAATTTTCCGTTTTTCAATGTACTGATTAAATTTATTTTTCAATGTGTTTCAATTTTCCAATTTTTGAATTTTTCAAATTTAATAGTAATTTTTAAAATGTTACTTTTTCAATTTCAATTTTCAGAATTTCTCCATTTTTCAATTTTTCAGTTTTCGAATTTTTGATTTGCAATTTCTGGTTTCGATTTTTCCTTTTCTTTATTTTTTATATTTCCTCATAATTTTTTGTTTTTTCACTTTCAACTTTTCGATTTGCAATTTTAATTTTTACGACATGCGATTTTTCCAAGTTTTGATTTTTCATCTTTAAAGTGTTTCACTTTAAAGATGAAAAATAGAAAAATTTCACACTGAAAAGAGAAAAAAAAATTTAATATAAGAGCATTGAAAAACCGCGAAATTTTAAAAATAAAGACAATAAAAAACCGAAACGAAAAATTTAAGAAATAAAAAGTTGAAACATCCATAAGTTGGAAAATTTTTGACTTGAGTTTTTGAATTTTTCATTTTTTTTTGTTTTTTAGTTTTTCGATTTTTAGAACTTTACGTTTTTTAGATTTTGATGTGATTAATTTTTTTTTCAATGTAGAGTTTTCTAATTTTTGGATTTGCCAATTTTTGATTTGTAATTTTTCTAGTTTTCATTTTAAATATGTAATTATAATTTTTAAAATTACACACTTATTCTGTCATACGTTTTCAGAATTTCTCCATTTTTGATTTTCCATGTACTGATTAAATTTATTTTTCAATGTGTTTCAATTTTCCAATTATTGTTTTAAATTTATTCGATTTTCCATTTTCAATTTTTCGATTCTTGATTTTTAATTTTTTCGAATTTTTGATTTGCAATTTCTCGTTTCGATTTTTCATTTTTTTTGTTTTTACATGTTTTTCCTTTAATTTCACCACTTACGACTTTTCGAGTTTTCACTTTTAAATTTTATAATCTTTCGATTTTCAAACACTTGAATGTTTCAACTTATTTTTCGTTTTTTCACTTTTTGATTTCTCAGTTTTTGGATTTTTCAATACTTTTTCTTCAATATTTGATTTACCCTGTTTTTTGTTTTCATTTTAAATATGTAGTTTTTCAATTTTACTATTTTAGGATTTTTCCATTTTTCAATTATTGGATTCATTTATTCGATTTCCCATTTTCAATTTTGCATTCTTAAATTTTTTAGTTTTTTCATTTTAAATTTTCGAATTTTTCGATTTTCCAACTTTTTAATATTTCAACTTATTTTTCATTTTTTCACTGACTCGATTTTTCAATTTTTGGATTTTAAATTTTCAGTTTTTCGATCTTCCAGTGTTTTCGACATTATTTTTACGTTTCTCAATTTTTAGTTTTTCAATGTTTCAATTTTTCGTTTCTTCAGTTCTTCGATTTGCATTTTTTTTTTCAATTTTTCGATTTATCAACTTTTCGAATCAAAAAAATGGAAAAATTGCAATATTGTGAAATTGAAAAAGCTAAAAATTGGAAATCGAGAACTTGGAAAATTGAAAAATCCAAAAATTCAAAAAATAAAGACTAAAAAACCGAAACGAAACATTGCAATCGAAAAATTGAAACATCCATAAGTTGGAAAATTTTTGACTCGAGTTTCTAAATTTTTAATTTTTTTTTGTTTCTTCAGTTTTTCGATTTTCAAAAGTTTCGATTACTGATTAAATTTTTTTTTTTTCAATGTAGTTTTCTAATTTTTGGTTTGTAATTTTTCAAGTTTTCATTTAAATATGTAATTATGATTTTTAAAATTTCACACTTATTTTCAACTTTTTTTCTTCAATTTTTTCGAAATGCGACTTTTCGAGTTTCCATTTTTAAATTTTTCAGTTTTTCCTTTTCTCACGTTTTGGATTTTTCAATGTTTCGTTCCTTGAATTTTCGATTTGCAATTTTTTCTAGTTTTCGTTTTAAATGTGTAAAGTATTTCAATTTTACTCTTTGAGGATTTTTCCATTTTTTAATTATTGGATTTTAAAATTTTTTCACTTCTTCGATTTTTCAGTGTTTTCGAATAAAAAATTGCAAAAGTGTAAAACGAAAAGTTTAAAAAATCTTAAAATTGGAAAACAGACGAACTGAAATATCAAAGATTGAAAATTTGAAAAATTGCATAAACGAAAAATTGCGATATAAAATCGAGAAAATGAAAAATTATAATTTCGAAATACTGCAAAATTGAAAAATTTGGAAGATCGTGAAATTGTTATTTATTCATTTTTTCATTTCGGTTTTTTATATTTTTAATTTGTTCAAATTTTCCGTTTTTCAATGTACTGATTAAATTTATTTTTCAATGTGTTTCAATTTTTCAATTTTCCAATTTTTGAATTTTTCAAATTTAATAGTAATTTTTAAAATGTTACACTTTTTCAATTTCAATTTTCAGAATTTCTCCATTTTTCAATTTTTCAGTTTTTCGAATTTTTGATTTGCAATTTCTGGTTTCGATTTTTCCTTTTCTTTATTTTTTATATTTCCTCATAATTTTTTGTTTTTTCACTTTCAATTTTTCGATTTGCAATTTTAATTTTTACGACATGCGATTTTTCCAAGTTTTGAGTTTTCATCTTTATAGTGTTTCACTTTAAAGATGAAAAATAGAAAAATTTCACACTGAAAAGAGAAAAAAAATTTAATATAAGAGCATTGAAAAACCGCGAAATTTTAAAAATAAAGACAATAAAAACCCGAAACGAAAAATTTAAGAAATAAAAAGTTGAAACATCCATAAGTTGGAAAATTTTTGACTTGAGTTTTTGAATTTTTCATTTTTTTTTTGTTTTTTTAGTTTTTCGATTTTCGAAACTTTACGTTTTTTAGATTTTGATGTGATTAATTTTTTTTTCAATGTAGAGTTTTCTAATTTTTGGATTTGCCAATTTTTGATTTGTAATTTTTCTAGTTTTCATTTTAAATATGTAATTATAATTTTTAAAATTACACACTTATTCTGTCATACGTTTTCAGAATTTCTCCATTTTTCAATTATTGGATTCATTTATTCGATTTTTGATTTTCCATGTACTGATTAAATTTATTTTTCAATGGGTTTCAATTTTCCAATTTTTGGATTTTTCAATTTCACGTTTTCAGAATTTTTCCATTTTTCAATTATTGTATTAAATTTATTCGATTTTCCATTTTCAATTTTTCGATTCTTGATTTTTAATTTTTTCGAATTTTTGATTTGCAATTTCTCGTTTCGATTTTTCATTTTTTTTTTGTTTTTACATTTTTTTCCTTTAATTTCACGACTTGCGACTTTTCGAGTTTTCACTTTTAAATTTTATAATCTTTCGATTTTCCATCACTTCAATGTATCAACTTATTTTTCGTTTTTTCACTTTTTGATTTCTCAGTTTTTGGATTTTTCAATTTTTTTTCTTCAATTTTTGATTTACACT